AATCGGTTTGGAAAGCCTTCGGGGAACACGTGGGCATCTTGAAGGTCATCTTGGCCGTCTTGGAGGCCTCTTGGGCAAGCTTTGGGCGATCTTTGGGGCTTTTTGGGCCGTCTCGGGCCAGCTTCGAGCCAACTTCGGCCATCTTGGTGGGTTCCTGGCACGTCTGAAGCCGTCGGAAGCCGTTTGGGGGGCCTCTATGGGCCGACTTGGGGCCCGCTTGGAATGCTCCAGGGCCGTCTTGGAGGCCATCTTGGGCGTCTTGGAGGCCATCTTGGGCGTGTTGGAGGCCTCTTGGGCCCTCTTGGGGCCCTCTAGGGGCCATCTTGGAGGCCACTTGGGCCATCATGGGGCTCTCTTGGGGGCCTCTTGGGCGATCTTGGGGGCTTCTTGGGCCGTCTTGAGCCGTCGGAGAGCCGAAAAGGCGCAAATGCCAAAATCCTTCAAAAACCAATGGGAAATCAATGATTTTGGCCTCTTCGGACTCTCCTGGAGGACCTCTTGGAGGCCTCTTGGGCCGTCTGGGAGGCCTCTGGGGGGCCTCTTGGGCCGTCTTGGGCCGTCTTGGACTCTCTTGGGCCGTTTTGGAGGCCGTCTTGGATCATCTCGGGCGGACTGGGAGGCCATATTGGGCCATCTTCGCGATTTTTCGAGGATGTCCCGAGCGAAACGGCCGTTTTTGGGCATTGACAGATGGGTTTTATGAGATTTACGGGTGGCCGGCGGGACGGGCCGAAGCCCACTGGGGAGTTCTATTAGAAAAAGAACCAAAGCCAAAACCTGAATCGTCCAGCACGCCGTGCACCCCTGCAAGCAGGGGGCGGCGGATCTAGTGGTTTTCGGCCCATCCCGCCACCGTGCCTGGGTTGTAGGTCAGAGGCCTCCTGGATGTTCGTTGGGATATCGTGGCAGGCCTTTTTTCGAGGGTTTCTTTGGAGGCATTTTTGGAGGCTCTTGGGGGCCGTCGGAGGGCTTCTTGGGGCTTCTGTTTAGGCCTCTTGGGGTCTTTTGCAGGCCTCTTGGGGCCTCATGGGGGCTGCTTGGGGCGGAAGTCTCGAATTGTCGGTTCGCGTTCCCTCTCTTGGGCCCTTCTTGGGGCCCTCTTTGGGCTCTCTTGGGCCGTTCGGGCGTCTCGTGGGCCGTTATGTTGCTGCTGCTGCTGCTGCTCCTCCTCCTCCTCCTGATCCTCCTCCTCCTCCTCCTCCTCCTCTTCCTCCTCATCCTCCTCGGAGCTTTGCAGGGATTCCTGTATGTTGTCGGGGTCCCTGAGGGTTCGCGGGGGGTCCGCCCCACCCCACTTTGGGAGGACATATGAGGAGGGAAAGAAACAATGGAGGAGAGGGAAGTGGGACAGGGATATGAGGGGGGGAGGGGCGGATAGAAAGAGGTGGAGGCGGAGGATGATGAGGGCGACCACTTCGAGGAGGATGGGGCCAGTCGCGCTTGACATCCCACATCGTGCGCGTTGCCGAATGCATGCGCATGTGGGCCGTTTGGGGGTCGGCGATGTGTGTTCGGTCTTTCCACTATTCATACTGTTGGTTGTGTTTACAGAAGACACGCAACCGACAACCCCTCATAATTCACGCTGGCCTCCAATGCCCCCCGCACATTTCCAGGGGCATCCCAAGCTCATCCTCATCCAATCGAAATTGGAGGAAAACGCCGTGGAGGATCCACGGTTGAGGGACGCGAGAAAAAACTGAGTGTGGGGGATCTGGGGAGGGGGCATCTCGGAGAGCTCATGGATGCTTCTGGGACTCCCTTCTGGGAACATGAAGGAGCTTCTCAGGAGGAGTACTTGTGACCCTCTTGGGAGCCCTCGGAGGCTTTTGGGAAGCTTCTTGGGAGCTCTTGGAGGCCTCGTGGGGTCTTGGGAGCCCTTGGAAGCTTCGTGGGAGCTTCTTGGGAACTTTGAGAGGCCTCGTGGACGACTTTGGGTGGGCCCTCTTGGTGGTCTCTTGGGGGGGTCTGCCTGGCCTTTTGGGGGCCTCCTAGGAGTTTCCTGGGGGTCTCTTGGGGGCCTCTTCGGGCTTTTTTGCGGCCTGTTGGGGGCCTCTTGGGGCTCTCTTGGGGGTTTCGTGGACTACTTGGGGGCTTGTAGGGGCCTTTCAGGGGCGTGTTTGGGCGGGAAGCTCAACATTTCCGTTCAGGTTGCCCCTGTGGACCTCAATCATGGGGCCGTCTTCGGGCCTCTTGGACCGTCTTGAGGGTTTCTTCGGCCTTTTTGGAGCGCTCTTGGGCCGTCTTTGAGCGGTCGAGAGGGTCTCTCGGGCTGTTTTGGGGTGGTATTGGGGGCCTATTGGACCGCCTTGAAAGGTGTGAGAGACGAAGAGGCGGACATGTTAGAAATGCACGTTTTCCCGAAGGAATGGGACGATTTTTGTTTGTGGGGGCCCTCTTGGGACGCCGCTTAAGGACCTCTTGGGGCGTATTGAAGGCCTGTCGGGCCGTCGTGAGGCCATCGTAGGCGCTTGGGGGTGATATTTCGGCGTCGCCCGGCTCTCTTAGACCGTCTGGAGGCTTCCCGGGCCCCTCCTGGACCGATTTGGAGCCCTCCTGGGTTCCGGAAAAAAAGTTCGTGAGGGTTTCTTGGGCCTTCTTGGAGCGCTCTTGGGCCGTCTTTGAGCGGTCGAGAGGGTCTCTCGGGCTGTCTTGGGGTGGTATTGGGGGCCTCTTGGACCGCCTTGAAAGGTGTGAAAGACGAAGAGGCGGATATGTTAGAAATGCACGTTTTCCAAAAGGAATGGGCGGTTTTTGCTATACTACTTTTGCAAGTAGTATTATTCCGTTTATTACAACGACGACTACTACTAGCATTAAACCTATTATTATCAACTCCTACGTCTACTATGTCTACGACGACGACTACAACTACGAACGCCCCTACTACGACTACTACTAGTACTACTGCTACTACTTCCACGATACTACTACGAGTACGGCGGCATTACTGCAACTACTTGTAATACTTTTACGACTGCCAGTACGACGGCTACTATTATCACTTCTGTCGCTACGGCGCTTACCACTGCAACGACCAAAACTATTACTATTACTACGACTCCTACTACGACGGCTACGGCTACTACTACAACTACGACTACTACTGCTATTGCTGCTACTGCTACTACTACCTATTATCTACTACCTATAACCCAGTACTACAAGTACTACTAGTACTAGTATAGTACTAGTACTACTACTACTACTACTACTACTACTACTACTACTACTACTACTACTACTACTACTACTACTACTACTACTACTACTACTACTACTACTTCGAAATCTACTACTACTACTACTGCGACTACAACTACAATTACTACTGCTGCTGCTGCTGCTGCTGCTACTACTACTACTACTACTGTACTACCACTACTACTACGACTACTACCAGTACTACTACTACTACTACTACTACTACTACTACTACTACTACTACTACTACTACTACTACTACTACTACTACTACTACTACTACTACTACTACTACTACTACTACTACTACTACTACTACTACTACTACTACTACTACTACTACTACTACTACTACTACTACTACTACTACTACTACTACTACTACTACTACGACTACGATTACTACTATTACTACTATTACTACTATTACTACTAATACTACTACTACTACTACTACTACTACTACTACTACTACTACTACTACTACTACTACTACTACTACTACTACTACTACTACTACTACTATTACTACTACTACACATCGACACCCACTCGCTCATTGATCGCGGATACGTAGTTTGATAGCCCCACAGCGCCCAACAGCGTGCTGATTCGCTATCGGACGCCTACCGCCGATCGATCGGCGATGTATTGCCGATTCCAGGTCGATGTGTCCCTCCCTATGACAGGCCCCCCCCCAATCGTTGCTTTTCAGGGGAGAGCCACCCGAAGAATTCAGAACGGCATGCGCATCAATTTCGGAGGCCCGCGCGGATTTCTCGGATCGGCGCCAAGAGCGCCGCCAGGGGGCCCAGCGGCGCTTCAAGAGAACAGCGCGGAACTCCGAAAGGTTACTTGTGTGTCGTTCTTCGTCCCTTTAATATCGCACGCCCGATGGTCCAGTCATCGCCGACTTGGGTCCCCTGGCCGCACCCTGCCCAGGAATCTGCAGGGAGCCCACAGTCGACCCGCATAGCAAGGATGGGCAACCTTCTCAATGGGTATCTTTTGCATCCTTGCCTCCAAGGTCCATCCTTGGCCACTATCGTCGGCCGCGCCCCGCTCGAGAGGCTTCGAAATGGTCGTCCAGGGCCTCTGCATCCTCATCGCGCGTCCTCGTGCCACGGGCCGACTGTATCGCCGATCTGTGGGGCACGCATCGCCGACTCCATGCCGATGTTCCCTCCCCTGCGACATTCTCCCCCCCCCAGGCCCTCCCCGTCGTCAACGCCGTCGTCGCCATCGGCATCCTCGTCGCCGCTGCCGTCGATGGCACGCCGCCGCCGCCGACGAGGACGAAGGCGACGAGGATGCCGACGACGAGGATGCCGACGACGACGACGACGGCGATTTTGCCGACGGCGAGGATGCCGACGACCGTCGCCCGTCGGCGCCGCCGCTGCCGTCGCCGCTGCCCAGATACGCGCGTCTGGAAGCGCAACACGTGCCGTGTTCAAGACGCCCGTGTTGACACGCTGCCTGTCGGCTCAGCGTGTTGGCCCGCGTTACACGCTACGTGTTGCGTGTTGCGTGTAGTGAGGGCCCATGCCAAGAAACACCCTGCTTGCCTCCAGGGTGCCCTGGGTTTCTTGTCTGTTCGATGGTTTTGCAAGGGACAGCGTGACTTCCCCGCACCAGAAATCGATGGACGACGTCCTGGGGTCTCAGGGTTGGGTCTCTTGTGGAAGGTTTCTTGTGGATCCGCCCCCACTGTACGTGGTGAGCTCTGCGTCAACACGCTACGTGTTGCCTGTTGCGTATCGTCGGCGTCGGCGTCGGCGTCGACGTCGCGCCAGGCGTGGCGGAGAGCCTTGTCGGCCACCTTCGCGGCGCCGCCCACGGGGGGGCGGGGCTGCGGCGCCGGCGCGCGCCATCGCCGGCCTGTGCCACCGCCGTCGTCTTCGTCGTCGTCGTCGCCGTCGCCGTCGCCGTCGCCGTCGACGTCGCGAGGGTCGCGAGGGTCGCGAGGGTCGGGGGTCGTCGATGTTTCTGGGCGGCGTTGGGACCTCTCGGGGCCTCTGGGGGCGGGGGGCCGAGGATCATCGAGAAGAAAAGAGCGCCGAACCGTAAGAAGACGATGAAGACGTGGCCTCACTGAGGTCCCGTTTTCGCATTGAGGATCAGAAATCTGGGCTCTTCTGGGCCTGGCACATCTGCAGAACAAGACCCTTCATCCCTGATGTTTCTGGCCCTCCTAACTCAGGTCCCTTTCCAAAGGGTCAGGGGTCTTCTCTTGGTCAGCCAGAGGAAGGGAGCAGGGAGAGAAAAGACACCGCCGACGACGAGGGCGCCCGTCGCCGCCCCGTCGCCGCCCCGTCGCCGCCTCGCCGCCGCCCGTCGCCGCCCGTCTCCTGGGCCAGGCTGCCGCCCTGGCCGGCTTGTCGTCGCCCCGCCGCCCGTTGCCGCCCGTCTCTTGGGCCGGTCTGCCGCCCCCAGGTCTGCTTTTTGGCGCCTTGTCGCCGCCCCGTCGCCGCTCGTCGCCGCCCGTCGCCGCCTGGTCGCCGCCTGTCGCCGCCCACACTGACGGCACTGCGCCACACAGGTGGCGCCACACAGGTTGCACCACGCAGCCTGCACCACACGGCTTACACCTCACACCGATCGCAATCGCCGCCGCATGGCTGTTGCAAACCAGGTTGCGGGTGGGTGGGTGGGACGATCGCGCGCGAGCAGTGGAGTTGACAGTTTCAAGCTCTGCAAAGCGAATTGCACCACATCGCTTGCATCACATACAGTGAGCGGCTTGAATAAGGAACACCTTGTTTTCAAAAGGGGCTCGGTCGTTCCTTAGCTTGCATGCGTTATTTACAGTTCCTTATGCGTTATTTGTGATTTATCGTTCCTTATGCGTTATTCCTTGGGATAAAAAAGGGGGCTTCGTTCCTTATTTATCGATCCTGAGGTCAGGCCGATGACTGTAGATTTCGCCACATATCTTGCCCCACTTCTGTTCTGGTACTGAAGCACAGCGAGCGCAGGCTCGCTGCGCCAACGCTGACAGCTCCAGCCACCATGGCCAGGGCTGCATCTCAGCATCTGGTCTCCGGAGGCCCTCGCCGAGCCTCGGGGCCGTCAAAACACGACCCCGGACGACAAACTGGCCTCATCCTCGAATCACTGTCGGGGGCGGAAAAGAGGGGGGTGATGACTAGGGGGGGTGGATATCATGGCGGGGGTCATGATATTTCCCCAGATGTCATGGCACCTCTTCTTATTCCATTACGTCCCTGCCCCCCCCGCTGGGCCGCGCACATGCCGCTGGTCATGATTTGCACCCCCCCCTCTTGAACCCCCCCCTCTTGGCCGCTCCCGATCGAATTGCTGCAGACGAAGGTGTCAACGAAAAGCACCAGGCAAACCTGGAGACAGCCGAAGGCCAACCTGCCACAGGCGAGCAAGCGCGCGAATCCCTAGCTTGCGCAGGTAACAGGACTCTGGCCTGCGAGCCTGGCCCAAAATGCCAGGGGGCCATCTGAAGGCTGGCTGGCGGAGCCTGCGGGTGGAAACTTCGAACCCGCGCAAATTACGAAAGGCACCTGCATGTGTATGCGCCACGCTGGTCCTGGACAGGCTCTGCTGCCCGGCGGAAGGGGACGATGACAGGAGAAGCAGGCACACGACGACGGCAACCGCCCAGGTGTGAGGCCAGGGCCGGCGGTGCTGGCGGGCATGCAGGAGGGGGACCAGGCGGGGACAGAAGGCAGGGAGCAGGAGGAAAGGCAAGGGAGGGAAGCAGCGAGCAGAAAGGGAAGGAGGAGGGGGACAAAGAGGGGGGGAGGGGAAGCAACCCAAGCAGACAGGCCAGGCCAAAGGCTAGGCGAGAACAGCCACCCGCGACGACGCTACGGCCCCTACAGCGGCGACTTGGGCGGGGTGGCCGACCCAGCCCAGCACGCTGCGGCTTGGTGGGGATGGCCCTCTGCGGCATCCATCCACCGCCCCGCCGAGGAAGGGCCAGACAGCGCGCGTGAGGGGTCGCCGGCGCGACGCTGGCGAAAGGGCGCGAGGGCGCGGGGGGCGCCCGTGCTGCCCAGCAAGGGCGGGGGGCTCTGGGCAGCGCCGGGGGCACTTCACACGGCGTCCGCCGTGGAGGCAACCGTGGCCGCGGCCAGGCGGGCCGGTGCCACCCACTGCGTCAAGAGGCGCCGCAACACCGCCCGCGCGCTTCCCCTGCGCAAGGAGACAGAAAAGCGCTGGGCGTGCTGGTCCGCGACCAGGTGGGCGTCGTCCCCCGCGGCGTCAACCACCCGCTTGGCCTGGGCCCCGAAGGCGCTGCGTGCCCCGCGGCCCCACCCGCTGCCGTGGGCTTCCACCGCCATAGGGTGAAGACGAGACCTGCGCGCCGCACAGCCGCACGGCGCACGGTGTCCTGGTGCTGCCTTTCGAATTGCTCGCGCCGCTCCGTCGCCGCGCTTGACGAAGCGGCCGACGCGGCGAGGAGATCGGCGCGCAACCCTGACGTGGCGGCAAAGTCCCAAGCAGCCGCCGTTCCGTTGCGCCACCTCGGCAGGTAGACGTCGGCAGGGCGGCGGCTGTTGTCGCCCACCTGAGGCCCGCCCTGCTCGCCCCCAGGGGTGGCCTTCCCAGCGGGGCGCGGGGGTAACCACCCCAGGCGCTCCAACTCTGCCCTGGCGCGACCCGCGGCCAGGGCGTCGAAGAAGGCCTGGTTGCGCAAGGCGTTGCTCCGTTTGGTCCGGTCGCCGCGGCAGGCGCAGACCAGGGCGTGTTTGCAGAAGACGCCCATCACCTCGCCACAGTCTGGGCAGAAGCACTCCTCCTGCAGGAGCTGGACTCGCAACCGCCTCTGCAGGCCGACCTGCATGAGGCCGCGCGGGAATGCGGTGCCGGTGGCCTCGCAGGGCGGCGCCTTGAGCCACGCGGCAGCGCCTAGGGCCTGCAGCAGGGCGAGGTACGCCCTGCCGGCCAGGGTGGCGCCCGCCAGGAGCCCGTCGAGCGCGGCGCTGTCCACCGCGTCGGAGAGGGCCTTCTGGTTGCCGTGCTGCGCGTGGTCGAACACCACCGGGTCGGCGTCCCGCGCGACTGCGTTGTGGGCCTGCGCGGCAGCCGCCGAGACTACCCCCGTCGCGGTCAGCGCTGTTGGAGCTGCCAGGGTAGAGCTGCCGACAGATGTCGGCGCCCTTCGCTCTGGAAGCGATGCAGGCGTCAGCCGCGTGCTTTGCGGCAGCAGGCCAAGTCTGAGCCTGCCGCCAGGAAGAGTCGGAGGGCGAGCAGCCGGTCAGTTGCTCAAGGCAGGCCCGGACAGCGTCGCCCCTGGCCCAGGGCCAGCAGAGAGGCGGCGTCCGCGGTGGGAGGCACCACGCGCGCGGAGTGCCCCAGTTTGCAGAAGGAGGCGCACTGGCGCAGGAGGTGCAGCGCGACCTGCGCGCTTTCGAGCTCCCCGAGAGCTTCCAGCAGCGCGTCGGCGCACACGACCCGCTTTTTGGTTTGCTCCGCGCGAAAGTCCGCGTCTCCCACTGGCGCGCCGATCAGCTCGAAGATGCAAGAAGCCCAGCGGGAGGCCGTCCACAGACACGTCGGAGGCGTCTCCGCCAGCGGGGGCCACTTCGCACTTGACCGGGCCGGTGCCCAGCTGGAGGCCCACCGCGGCGAGGTTGGCCACGAGCAAGTGGAGGATGCGTGCGACGGCCGGCGCGTCGCCCACGAGGCAGCCGTCGTCCAAGTAGAAGACTCAGAACGACGGCGCCGTTGGCGCCGTGGCGCGGCGCGCGGAGGGCGGCCTGGGCGGCTCGGAAAACAGCACGGGCCCCAGGGGGTCGCCCTGCTGCACCCCGCTCTCGGAGCGGACTGCCTGCTTGCCCAGGAAGAGAGTTGACGGGCGGGAGCAGCGCCAGTCTGCCCAGGGTGCCAGCCCGGGGAACTATTTGTGAACCGCGCGGAGCAGAGCCTGCCTGTCAAGGGCGTCGAAGGCGTTCCGCTGGCGCGCGACATGCACCGCCGTATTGGTGCCGCCGGGGACCGCGACGCCGATCTGGAGGGTGGCCAGTCGGTCGCGCGCGGCGTCGGCTACCTCGTGGCAAAGGCACTTGCCGACGAGGCGCCGGAGCACCTCCCCGACGGCGATCGGGCGTAAGCGTCCGTCCTTATTGGGCAGGGCCACCATGGATGTTCTCGCTGTTGGCGCTGCTGGCGAGCACGCGCGCGCGCCTGCACGACGCGCGCAGCGTCCAGACTTCAACAGCGCAGTCGCCGTCGCGACGCGAGAAGACCGTTCAACTCATAATCGTCGAGCAAGACTGCAAACTTTGCTCTCGAAGTCTGCGCCCGCACGCGCTCCCCTTGGACTCCAGAAGCGCCCCGCTGCCTGCCACAACCTCCGAGATCTGCGCCCGCAGGCACTCCCTGGGGACACCTCCTCGCTCCGCTCCCCGCCGCTTCGGCGAGGCTAGGCCCTCGTTGCCACGGCTCGAGCCGAGTGGGTGTCTGGCGATACGGTGGGCCGTTATCGTGCTGAGGTCGTCACGCAGCAGAGGCAGAAGGATTCCAGAACGCAGGAAAACCAAACATAATGCCTCGACTAAACACACCGTCGCCCAGCGCTAAGGGAAACAAGCCGTGACATAAACAGAAATCTCCGGAGGTCCGCGCGGATTGTTCGGATCGGCGTTGGGAACCCCCTCCTTGGTGCACGGAGCGCGCAAGGGGCGGCGCCAGAGGCGCCGCCAGAGGGCTCCAGCGCGGATCCGAGAAATCCGCGCGGACCTCCGGGTTTTGATGTTTAGGTCACCCTCCGCTCCCCTGAGTTCAGCGCCTGTTGCGCCGGCCCCGCCCACGAGCCTTCGCGCCACCAGCTCAGGCCTGGCCGCCCCCCCCGCGCCTCTACCTCGGCCTCGCGGAGGGGCACCGGCCTCGCCTCCGAGTTGTCAGTCTGGCGCCGCCTTGCCTCGACGGTCGGACCGAGGTAGAAAGATCGAGGTCGTTTGTCAAGCAGTGGCGGAGCGTCCTGGTTCGCCTAGATGCCCACAAAGGAATGTTCTATGAACCTTGTGTGGTCTGCGCGCATCGTTCTTAGAACATGCCTGGATGAGCCTGTCTTGTTTTGACACATCGGGTCTACGTTCTAAGAACACGGTTTTTGTGTTTCGGACATTTTTGGGGTTCTCAGAACAGGTCGCGGCAGGCCTATAGGAATGCCGCGACGGTCGGCCCCTGCACAAATTTTGGGGAGGTTCCCCTGATGTTCTTCGTGCTTGTCGTACGTCCTTGTGCATCCAGGGGGAGGGCACACTCGAGTGATCTGATGGTTTGGGGTGTTTGGTGTCGTGGGTTCGGCCGCATGTGCACTCGGAGGTCGGCCTCCCTGTGCTCTGGACAGCTGTCTTCCCGTCGTCCTGGACGTCGGCCGAAGCGAGCACTCCCCCCAGGAAGAGATCCAGTGGCAGCAGTCACCACAGTGCGAGCGCGGCCGCAAGAAACCCTCGCATGAAACCCAGCCCCGAAAACCCGCGCGCGAAGTGCACCAGAGGGGAAACCCCTGGAGCACCCTGAACGCAGCAGCTCCTTCCACGGCCGCGGGAAGTCGCCACGCAGCGCACGGGGCGCAGAAACCCATGATGCCCGGGCGAAAAGTAGATGGTTTCTCGATGCGCGCCCGCACTGCATCAGTCAGAACATCTGGGACGAACAGCTGCTCCTCTCGTGCGGCTCTCGCGCGGCCTTCGGGAGCCTCCAAGCACGCGAGCTCGGCGAGGAGCAGGCCTCCGCCCTCGGCGAGCCCAGCGACCACCGGCCAGCCCAGCGCCCCCACTGTACGACCCTCCCGCTCCTCGGCGTCCGGCAGGTCGGCACGACCGGCTGCGACCGCCTGGCTCGGGGCACCTCGGAGCCCGCCGATCGCGACACACACACACACAACACACACAACACACACACACACACACTACACACACACACACTACACACAACACACACACACACCACACACAACACACACAACACACAACACACACACAACACACACACAACCCACAACACACACACAACCCACAACACACACACACAACACACAACACACACAACACACACAGAGACACCATCAGTCGTCGACCCCCAGGAAAATAAGGGGAACTATGGGGAGTGGGGGGGAAGGCAGAGGCCCTGAGAGTATGGGAAGACCTGGGGGAATCCTGTTGCTCGCGTGCACTTGCTCGTGTGCACCGGGGCCCCCTTTGGGACTCAGCGCCGCGGGGCAGGCTCGGGAGCGGCCTGCGCGCCCCTGCTGCGCGGCGGCGGCAGGCGGGCGCTCGCCCGGCGTGTCGGCCAGCGGCTGTCTGGACGCCGGCAATGGGCACGGAAAGAATGGGGACAATGCCCAACAACAAATGATTCAGGAGGGAACAAAATACACAGACACAATTCAACGTCGATCCTCAGGAAAATATTGGAAAATATGGAAAGTGGGGGGGAAGACGAAAACCTAGAAAATATAGGAAAATGTTGGGAATCCTGTTATTTGTGTGTATTCATTTGTGTGTCCCAGGGCCCCTTCAATGATGTCCCAAACCAGCAGCGGCCGCTGTTGGGCGGGCGGCCTTCTGTCTCGAGTGGACGCAGGCCGCGGCGGCGTGGACAGCGAATCCTGTTCAAAAAAAAATGGGCACAATGCCCAACCGCAGTCCTGCTCATTTTGAACAGGACTCGCTGTCGACGCCGCGTCGGCCTGCGTCCATTCGAGACAGAAGGCCGCCCGTCCAACAGCGGCCGCTGTTGGATGGGGACATCATTTGTTATTGGGCAGTGTGCCCATTCTTTCCGTACCCATTTCGGGCGTCCAAAGTCTGGGCCCAGTCCCGCCCGTCTGCATAGGCTCCTCGAAAATACTAAGAGAGCCCCTGACCCAGAGATTATGTCGGGCCTGTCCCCCTACAGGAGGAATATTCAAACATAGTTTAAACAAAAAACATGTTCTGGGGGCTACTTTTGGATCATTGTGAAAGCCTTGCGGCCAGTGCCGCCGACCCTGAAGGTCTTGGCCGTCGATGGCGACGGGATGTGTGATCACAGGAAGGAGCTAAAGGACAACGTGACAGGCTGGCTTCTCGAACATAGTAAGAGAGCCCCTGATAGGGGGCCGCATGCGAACCCTGACCCTACCCCCCACGATTTCTGAGGGGGAGGGTGGGGTTCGCTTCGTTCGGGAGCCCACGAACGAAGCGAACCCCACCCTCCCCCTCAGAAATCGTGGGGGGTAGGGTAGGGGTAGGGTTCGCATGTGGCCCCTTACCTGACCCTAAGATTATGTCGGGCCTGTGCCCCTACAGGAGGAATTTTCAACAATAGTAAAAAGATAGCCTGGGGACTGCTTTTGGACCATTTTTCATTTTGGAATATGTTTTTGGGTTTTGTTTTATTTTTATTTTTCGTCCAAAATCCCCTGTAGGGGGACACGCGAGAGATAACCGTTGGAACGCAGCGAAAACGTGGCCTCAACGAGGTCCCGTCTTCGCATCAGGGACGGTAGGAATCCCGGCGGCTTGGCGCGATGCCTTTGCAGGAGCAAACAGATATAACATAATAATACAAATCAGCCCTACTTGGTGCTGTTGGCCCTCCTGACTTGGGTCCCCTCCCAAAGGGGGTTAGGGGTCCTTTTCTGGTGAATCATCGCTCTCTCTCTCTCTCTCTCTCTCTTTTTTTTTTTTTCTCTCTCTCTCTCTCTATTTCGAAGAAGAGAATGAGAACAAGAAACACTTCCTGAAGAAGAATAAGAAGAAGAGCAAGAAAAACCTGCACGAGCATAAACTTCGCACAGCCCCCGCGGATTGGCTCGGGAGATCCGCGCTGGGACCCCCCCCCCGCCCTCCCGCGGCGGCCGCGGGAGGCGCCGCCCCCCCCTTGGCGCGCTCCGGGGGGGGGGGGGGGGCTGTCGGGCGCCTGGCGCGGACGCAGAGCATCCGCGCGGAGAGTTCCGGAAGCAAGAGTTTTTTTTTGTCGGCGCGGAGTGTGTCACCACCAACCAAACCACCCCAACCCAACCCGAAGGCCTGAAATTGAACTCCATTTCCAGTTGGGGGGGGTCGGGGGACATCGAGAAAACACATGGAACCCGTACCCCCCCCCAATCCGAAATTCGGGTCTTCGGGTTGGGTTGGGGTGGTCTGGTAGGTAGTCAGTGTGGAAGATGTGTCAGGCCAGGCCGGTGGGGACACCCGCAGTTGTCCTCTCAGCTGTCCTCTTCTCTCACCTCTCTGTGCGTGGCCCTCGAGGCGCACGCGTCTCTGCGGAGAATCCTACGGCCAAATGCCCTGTGCAGGCGCCATTCCACAGGGGGCGGGTATATGCTGAGCGGCTGCCTGGCTGGCTCATCCCTCCCACAGGTTCTCGGCCGTTCTTGATTTGCCCTCTGGGCCATGTGCTTAATGTGACTGTTTGCAGCAGTGCGCCCTTTTGGGGGAGACTCCACCCGCTCGAAAAGGCGCCAACAAAATAGCCAAGATCTACCCCAGGGTGGGGGGTGGGGGGTGCGAGGGCCCGCGCCGATCGGCAACACAATGAAGAAAACACGACCACAAAGTTTCTGTCTGTGCTGTTTTGCTTGTCTTGCTCCTTTCCCTTGCATTTTGTTAGCCCTCCGTTTAGTTCGCCCTCCGCCAGCGCAGTTGCTCTGCCTAGCCGCCGACGCCCAACAAATAATGGCTTGTTGTTCTTTCCCTGCGGACCTCTTCCACGTCCGACCGCCCGCCCGCGCGCCCGTTCCCTCCTCTTCTCCTCGCTCTTCTGCACGCCGGACAATTCGCCGATCCGTGCCCCCCCGATTGGCCCCACGCTGGCGCGGGTCGCCTCTTCCCCGCCGCCGACGGAACAAACAAATCCCCCCCCCATTCAGGTCGCCATCCTCGGCGGCGAGCGAGGGGGGGAGGCGAAAAGGGGCGGGCCTTCCAAGACGGCTCGGACGACGTTTGGGTTTTCTGAGAAGTTCTTGTTTTTCCCGAGCCTTCCACGAAGACGCTGAACACTTCTCAAGGGGGCGCTTGTGAATCTGAAAAGTCCCGCCGCCTGCTGAGAAGGCCTTTTCCTTTTCACTTCCCGCCCCCGCTCGCCGCCGATCCTCGCTCGTGGCGCATGACATCCAGGATGGCCAACCACGAGCCCACCAAACGGACGTGGCGCGCATTCCACTGGCAACCGGAAGAGAGCTGACGCCAGCACGGACAGAGGCAACGCGGCGGCCAACGCATGCGCTGGGACCACGGCGTCGTCAGTTCCTTTTAACAGCACGCACTCGACCGGCACCCAACGCCCACACCAGCCCAAAACGTCTTTACGTGGTCGACCCTTGAGCACACTTGCACCAACATGTCGCCGACATTCACAACCAGGACTTCCTCCTCTTGTCTTCCTCCGTCATCACATTGCTGTGCGCGTGTTGCACCGTTTCATGGTTTGAGTGTTTCGCTGTTGCAATGCATGCGTGTATGTCTACAGGAGGCCATTTCTTCCCCCACCTGATGTCAGCAGACCGGGACAGCTGTCCGCCGTGGTGGTTGGCTCGCTCATTCGTCCTTCGTTCGTTTGCAGGTTTTTACAGCGCTGCAGTCGTGGGTCTTGCTCGTGTTCCTCCTCCTCGAAACCACGACGACGACGGAAAGCACCGCTGAGCTCGCGCCTTGCCTTCCGAGCCTTCTGGGGAGGGTCGCCCCCTTCGCGCCTTCCCCTCCCGAAGCTCGCCGCCCCGCCCGCCCCGCAGCCGCCGCCCCTCCCCGCCGCCGCGGCCGCCCCCCGACGGGACAGCCGCCCGCGCCCGCCGCCTCTGGCGGCGGGCCGCGAACCGCGCGCGCGCGATGGCGGGCCCGGGGACCGCGGGCGGGCCGGATCTCTCCTCGGGGGCAGCGCCAAGGAGGGGGACGCCCTCCTCCTCCTCCTCCTCCTCCTCCTCTTCCTCCTCCTCTTCCTCCCTCCTCCTCCTCCCTCCTCCTCCTCCTCCTCCTCCTCCTGTTCCTCCTCCTCCCTCCTCCTCCTCTTCCTCCGCCTCCTCTTCCTCCTCCTCCTCCTCTCCTCCTCTTCCTCCTTCTCCTCCTCCTCCTCCTCTTCCTCGGGATGATCGAAATGGATACGGAGAGAATCGGCACGATGCCCAACAGCAGTTCCTGTTTATTCTGAACAGGGCTCGCTGTTCGCGCCGCCGCTGACGCTGTTTTTTGGAGACGAAAAGCCGCCTGCCCAACAGCGGCCGCTGTCGGTTTGGGACAACATGTGTTGTTTGGCATTGCAGGATTTCCGTACGCATTTTGGGTGTCCAGATATGTCGGCGGCGAGTGAGGGGGGGAGTGAGAATGAGAAGGCTTTCTCGGAAGGCGGCGGGACTTGTCAGAAGCCCTCGCGCCTTCTGGAGAGTCGTCCGTGTCTTCGGGGAAGGCTTCGAAAACTTCTCCGAGAGTCGGGGGACTTCAGAGCCTTCTGGGAAGGCCCGCCCCTTCTCACTCCCCCCCTCGCTCGCCGCCAAAAGACCCCCCATCGCCCATGGGTCGCCCGCAGGGGCCCCGCAGCCCCATCCCGCCCAGGAAGCTGCGGATCCGCTGTCGGGGGCCTGTCGCCGACGTATCGGAGATGTATCGCCGATTCCAACTCGACGTTTCCATCCCTGTGCCAGTCCCCTGAGGAAGCCAACAAGTACCGCTACCGGCACTCCCCAGACCTCCCCCAGGGTGCGTTCTGATAAGAATTTCGAGGCGAATCCAGCGATGTCCACGAGGGCCTCCCAGGAGGCCCAGGATGGGGAAAACGGGGCTGGGGTAGCGGTATGGGTTCGGATGCAATTCTTCGGGGCTCAAGAGACGGGGGTCAATGCAATCGGGGGTCAGCCAGAGCGCCCGATCTTGCAGGATCCTGCATGGCCAGGGGCGCACTGACCCGGGTTTGGGTGCAGGATCCTGCAGGATCTTGCAGGATCCTCCGCGCTGACCTGGGTTTGGGCGCAGGACCTTGCAGGGTCCTGCGGGGCCTGACTGACCCGGGTCTGGACTCACCCGGGTCGGCAGATCCCCGAATTCTTGGGAGCTCAAATGTGGCCGACGCCCTATAGGCCCCCGTGTCGTGGCCCCTCGCTCTCCGAGGCGGTTTTTTTGTTTCTGTCCGATGGCGGCTCGTGTGCCTCGTGCCGCGCCGGCGTGTCTTTGAGAGGCGTCCTCGGCCCTTGATCTCCCAGGGGTGGTGCGCGGTGCACATGCGGGCAATATTTATATCCATATCCAGTGCGTCTTGGACTTTCTTGGAAGGGGCGCCGCAAGGCCGAGGCGCACTAGAGATGGATAAAATTGAGCCTTTTGGAGGCAGATTATAATCCACATCCAGTGCGCCTCATGTTTCTTGGGAAGAGTGTCCGAAACTCCAAGACGCACTGGATGTGGATAAAGACGTTGCCCGCAGCACAGCTTTTTCCGGCCCTCGGGGCCGGCCGGACGTTGCCCCGCGCCGCGCTGGAGTGAGGCTTGAAGGGAGCCCAGGCTCCAGACTTGTGGTGTTCCAACCTGCCTTAGCCTTGATCACCAGAAAGAATTTCGAGCACCAGAAAAGTGCCCGAAACTCCAGGGTTTTCGCGTGTGGGGCCCCGGGAGGCACTCGTGCGACACTGGTTCGACACTTATCCGGGTGCTCGAAATGATTTTTGGGATGTGGTCCTGAAGTACGATAGGAGCTACATAAGTGCAGATATAGTTTTGCGCATGCCGAAGGAGGAGAAAGCGCCACAAACATAATACCTTTGGCGCTCCGCGCGGATTTCTCGGATCCGTGCTGGGCCTCCCCGGCGGCGCCTTCGCTGGCGCCCTCCGCGCGCCAGGGAGGGCGGTCCAGCCGAGATCCAGGAGATCCGCGCGGAGCGCCAAAAGGTCATGCTTATGGTGCTGTTTCTGCTTTAGCATGGGCGCCGCTCGCGTGCTATACGTGACTCACCGCCTGGAGAATCGATGTTCGGAGGGCTGGAGAGGCGGCGGCTACGGACAACTTCGGGCCCCGTGGTGCCCAGACATATCCATAGATGATCTCCCCTCCCACCCGCCCCAATGCGTGTGGGATCGAGCCCCCCCCCCCGCTGGATGGATACGTCCCTTTAGCCTCGCGGCCACTCGCGAACACCTCGCGAATAGGATCGCCCCCCTTCCGCGCCCCGCCGTGGTCGTGGCCCTGTGGGCGTGGCGTGCTCGATGGTGCCTGTGCACCCCCTGCCCCTCCCCCTGTGGGTTTGGGGTGGTTCGTCGTCTTCGTCGTCAACGTCGCCGTCGGAGTCGGCGTCGGCGTCGTCGTCGTCGTCCGTCGTCCCTCGGCGTTCGTCGGCGGCGTTCGCGGCGTTAGCGTCGTTAGCGTCGTCGGCGTCGGTGGCGCTGGCGTCGGCGTAGTCGTCGGCGTCGGCGTCGGCGTCGGCGTCGGCGGCGTGTGCGTCGGCGTCGTCGTCGTCGGCGTCGGCGTCGGCATCGGCGTCGGCGTCTGCGTCGGCGTTGGCGTCGTCGTCCCCAAGCCCCGTCCCATCTGGGGAGCTGGGGGAGGGGCTGTGGAAATCTGAGACCCATCCCAACTAGTGGAGGAGGGGCCTGCGAACCCTCGATCTTGGATCATATAACTATCCGACGCCCGCTGGGGTCCCAGGACGTCTGTTCCACAAGCGGCGGATATGGATAGATTCCCGCCTCGCAGTCTCACCCTCAGCTGATGTTTAGAGGCGCTGAGGGCGTCTTTGTCGGTTGTTTTCAGCATCGGCGCGTGTTGGTTTCCCGCGTTTCTTTGCTATGGGGCGAGATTTTAGTGCTCCGTGTTGGGATCGCTCCCGTGCGCGCAGTGTTCGGTTCGGTTTCATGTCGTGTTGCTGCTGTTTTTTTATGTCTGGGTTTCTGTTTTTTGTTGTTTTGCTTGGTTGGCCGAACACCGAAAAACACGGCATCGGAAGAGCGCCCCCAGCGTTTCTATGGCTTGATCGTCGACAAGATGGGCATGGCGGGCGCGAGGTGGGCGCCAGTTTCTTGGCAGAGCTCGATTCGCATCGGCGGTCGCGCACGCCAACAGCAAACGACATGACGGTCCGGGAGAGCGGCGTGGACAGGCCAGGCCGCTCGTGGGCGCGAGCGCGTCGTTCTCTGGAAATTTCTATCAAGTGGAGCCGCCGCCGGGGAAAACAATCAATGCGCCGCCCACGTCGCGCCCGAAGAATGCGAGGAAACATGCGCTTTGTACCGCGTAGGGCCACGGGCAGCGCGTTACTTGGGCAGCCAGTTGCGAAGGGGCAGTGCAGGGGATGACGGACCTGACGGAGTGCAAGCGCGTGTGGGACTCATGCGGCTGGTTCCTCGGGGTGCAAGATGAATTTCCGAGCTGCGCGGACAGACCGCGCGCGTAATTTCTTGTATGGGAGGCCGATGGATGCGCCGGGGTCGCGGGTGTCCGGCGCAGCGCAGCGCGGCGTCGCCCATTGCCGAGAGAACGCGGAGCGCGAGTCTTGCAATTGTGGGTCAGAGAAAGGGCAGTTTGCTGCGACGTCGCCCGAGGACGCGCGGTTTCGAGAGGAGAAGTTTGTCGAGGCCGTCGCATTTTTCGCCAGCCAGGACAGTCGTTGCCACGTCGGGCAGTAGGGGGCCGTGCAGTGGGCGAAGGAGCGAGGAAAGCAGCTTCCCTGGGTCGCAGCAGGAGACGGCCGAATCTTCCCATCGAAACGGCACCAGTGGTTATGAGGCAGATGCCGGGGGCCTCCGGCGTCGGGTTGCATGCCCGCCCATTTCGTGTTCGCACTTTCGTTAGCAATGACAGCGCACGCCGCGCGCGGGCGAACAACGGGCGCAGTCGTGGCGGACCTTGAAGGTGTGCGCGGCGCGAGTTGGATGTCGAGTCGCTCTGCCGTCGCACATGCGCAGTCGCGAGAGACCTCTTGGTCGATTGGTAGATAGCCGCGCAGCGAAGGCGAACTGGCCTGCGCGAGGGAGACGGCGAAGGTGCTCCGAGGGGGGGGGGGCGTGGATTAGGAAGCGCGGGGTCGGAGTTAATGCCGCGAAACCAGTGCGAGCTGTGCCGGCGGAGGCTGCTGGTAGGAGCGCTCGCGAAGTATAGGTCCGGGGGGAAGGAGGTGCCTTCGTTTTGCAGATTCACGCGCGGCTGAGATGAAAAGCGTGGACGAGACATGGCACGCAACGAGCAGAGCAAGTGCAACGCAAGCGGAGGGGGCGGGCCCGACGCGGCACGGCGGCAATCGGGGCGACGCGGAAGCCAGCGTCGCAGAGGAACCGGAAAATATTCGGACCATGTGCCACGGGAAGCGCAGCCGTGGCAGCGCGCAGTGGAACGAGAGCGTTGGCGCAGTGCAGCAATGAAGCGAAACGTGCGTGACGCTTTACGAAGAGATGGCGGATATATTGGAATCACAGAAGGAATGCAATGCAGCACAGGAGAGGCTGCGTCGGACATGCGCGGGGGAACGCGACAAGCAGATTCGAGGGGCAAGAAATCGCAAGCTGAAAGCAGGAGCGGACTCGAAGTCGCTGGCGCAATCGGCGTGCGGGGAAGCTTTTCCGACACTCGTAAACATTGGGCGAGCGGAATAGCGTCGGCAGGCGAAGCAGAAGCGCATGGTGTGCGCGGATTGCACGCGCTTTGGTTTCACGGCGCGCTGTTGGCAGGACGATTAGCGCAGTGGCACGCGCCAAAAGAAATTGCCGAAGTCGGCGTTCGCCGTGAGGGTTGACTGCGCTGCGCTCGCCGAAAAACAACGGCACGCCCAAATTCGAGGCATGCACATTATGCCCATTTGGGCGGCCGCTTTGGTGATGGAATCTGCCATGCCGCTACACGGACCGAAGTCCGTGGAAGCAGGATCCGGGAG